GGGGGTTAGAAAATTAGCCTTGTGTTTGAAAAGTCTTTCCAAGCCCTATGAGGAAAGATTGAAAACAATAGGCATATTTAACCTTGGGAAAAGAAAACTGAAGGGAGATAGGACCGGACTTTTCAAAGACTTCAAAGGTAGTCATACAGAGGAGGAGCAGGGGTTTGTTCTGGATCATCCCAGAACGCAGGACACGCAACAATGGGCTCAAGTTACAGGAAGCCAAATTTCGGCCAAACATCATGAAAAACCTATCAGCAGTTAGAGCAGTACGGCAATGGAACCAGTGGCCTTGGGGAGGGTGAGTGCTCCAACGCTAGAGGTTATCAAGAGAAACTTAGAGAACCACCTGTCAAATCTGCTTTGATTTGGATTCTTGCCTTGAGCAGGGGTTTGGACTCAATGACCTTAGAGGCCCCCTTCCCACTCCATGATTCTAGGATTCCGAGAGCAGTAGCAACCAAGCTGTTTTGCTTTGTGATGAAAACTAGCTTCCATTCGCGTGGGGTGCTGTCGGCCTTAGAAGGGACCCCCAAAGGCTCTAAGTCTTACCCCCGGAATCCCTGTAAGGCATGTCCCTAATTGGTCCCTTCTTATCTTTCCTCAATCAGGCTTAAACAGCTCCCAAGCACAGACTGTCCCCGTCATCAACAGCGTGGCCAGCAGCCTGGCCGCCCTCCAACCCGTCCAGTTCTCCCAGCAGCTCCACAGCCCCCACCAGCAGCCTCTCATGCAGCCGTCCCCCAACCCGATGGCGCAGCAACCCTTCATGGCAACAGTGACCCAGCTGCAGAATTCACACAGTAAGGATCTTGTCAGGTATTTGCAGAGGGGCAGAGGCGAACTTAGGCGGGGTGTGTGCTTGTATCGCTGGGAAGAGCAGTTACTGCAGACATCTGAATCATCGTGTATAGCTCTTTCTCTCTTCATTGTCAGGTTTTTGATTTCTCAGGATCCAGTCTAAAAATCACTGCTGGGTCGCAGGATAAGATTCTGGACATGCTGGTAGGGGTGTGAAAAACAGGTGCAAGATTCCAAGGTAGCCAGTGCAACAGAAGACATCCTATCGGGCAAAAACAAAAGAGAAATAAAAAACAAAGAAGAGCAAAATGCTGTGGCACCGTAAAGGCTAACCACTATATTTTAATGTGACATTCATCCACAAAGCTCACGTTAAAATGCAGTGGTTAGTCTTTAAGGAGCCGCAACATTTTTGTCTTCTATTTTATTTTTCTTTTGTTTTTGCCTGATACACTCGCACAGACTAGCACAGCGCTGTCTTCTAAAACTTCCCTATTCTAAAGCACGAAAGCCGTAGCAGGAGACAAGCCGAAACCACTTGCGGTTCGTAAAACTCCCCGAGTGCTATATACTTTTTTGATACCATGATTAATGTTTCTGGCACCTAGAACGTCTCGTGGGTCACTTTTGGAGGTTGTGCCTCAACTTGTATTTTGTGGGGGCCTTTTTATGTAGCTTACGTCACTGCCAACCACTTGTAATAGGAGAGGGAGGCAAAAATTGGGCATCCCAGCTGGACCCACCCTGTCTCCGACACGCTTTATATTGCAGAAGAAAGATTGATGTTAAAGGGCCACTCTTTTGCACATAGAAATGGTAGGCATGGTGGGTCCGAATGGAGTCTGTAGCTGAGGATATGGGAGTTAGAGTCCTCTACAATTCATGCTAGAATCCTGAAGTGAGACACGATCCTTGTGCGTATTCCATAGTGAGACAAACAAGAAGTGCAGTTGCTACTACAGTACCTGAAAACTAGGTTTACTGTGGCCTTTATTGTGGGATGTGGTGGCGCTGTGGGTTAAACCACAGAAGCCTCTGTGCTGCAAGGTCAGAAGACCAGCAGTCGTAAGATTGAATCCACGCGACGGAGGGAGCTCCCGTCGCTTGTCCCAGCTCCTGCCAACCTAGCAGTTTGAAAGCATCTAAATGCAGGTAGATAAATAGGTACCACCTTGGTGGGAAGGTAACGTCATTCCATGTCTAGTCGCGCTGGCCATGTGATCATGGCAATTGCCTTCGGACAAACACTGGCTCTAGGGCTTGGAGATGGGGATGAGCACCACTGCCTAGAGTCCGACACGACTGGACTAAATGTCAAGGGGAACCTTTACCTTGTGTGTAAATCCTGCTGAATTGGGCTTAAGGTTGTGTGGGTTTTATTCACTGGCCGCACAGGTGAGATAGGTTTTGAAGGAGGAGGAGGAGGAGGAGGAGGAGGAGAGAGAATGTGTTCAATGGGTCTTTTTGAGAAGTGTCACCTATATATTTCTCAGTTAATCCCACCCATGGCTTGCTTCCCTTCCTCCAAAAGGTTCTAGAAACGACTATCTTGCTTCAAGAGGCATGAAGAGAACTTTCTTGTGAGGGAGTAATTTTTGGTTGTCCTCCAAGATGGCAGCTCCTTTCCTCCTCACACCACAGGCGAATATGACTGTTGTTGTTGTTTCCCTCCACAGTGTATGCGCACAAGCAAGAACCTCCTCAGTATTCCCACACATCCCGGTTCCCTTCAGCCATGGTGGTCACGGATACCAGCAGCATCAGTTCATTAACCAATATGTCTTCCAGTAAACAGGTAACTGATGAACTCTATCCTGTTTGCAGAAATGGATCCAGCAAACTAAGCCATGGGTTCAAAATATACCTTTCTCTAAGCTGGCGTTCTAACAGTTCACTCAGACAGGTGACTGAACTCCTGAATTAATGTAGGTCAAACTAGAAGTTAATCGGAGTGTGTATTGCCCTTGTGATTAGCCCTTAATATGCTTTCTCTTCCACAAGGAGGTTACCTCATTGATACATATTTCTGCAATCACATTTGGAAATTTAGGCCTGTGTTTTCTTTCCAGTTACCAATCACAAACTGAGCATGCTAAATGCAAGATGCACAGATGAGGGAAAGTACATGCTGCGATAAACAGACATTTTTCACCAGTTGAGGGAGCACTTCTTTTGGAAATGTGCTCAGCATATCATCAGATTCCATAGTGAGAATTCTGGTGTCCATTTCGGAAGGCGCAGGAGGCAAAATCTGGGAACTGCCTAATTGGCCAGGACCTCTTGGGACCTAGTAAAGCCAGCAGATTATGCACGGTGGGTCAGGAGAGGAGCTGGTGCCTCAGAGGCTGAACAAGTTTCATGCCAAATAGTCCATTATCTATACCAGTAGTCTAGATCGTCCATAGGATGGGAAGTACTGAGGAGTTGAGTTAAAGGCTTCAGAGAAAAGGCCAGATCTTGTGGGATCAGTGAAATCTGTTTCACATTGATAATGGTTAGGTTCCTTTAGAAAGGAAGCCAGTCTGTAAGTAAATGTCCTAAAAGTTAAATGAGGACAAAGCACCGTCAGACTTAACGGAAATTTATAGTTTGATCTGTACAAAGAAAACATCATAATAACGCCCACAACACTTATTTTAAAACAATATATGTCGACGAAGGCTTCCTTGCCTTTCTTGCGAAAACCTACCACGGTGCTGTCGGTGATGAAAAAATCGTTCCGGAGCAGACAAAAGGACCTTTTTTCCTTCCTCTCCGGGCCCTCCCCGTTTTCCAAAGGTAGCTTTGCAGACTGTGGGAACTCTGCGGCCTCTTATTGATTGGTAGATAGTTAGGAGAGAAAGCCTTGAACTTCTACAGAGATAAGCGTTTGTGGTTTGTTTGACTTCCCCCTTCCCCTTTCTCTCCCCCCCCCTCCCCGGCACCCTCTCGCCTTAGAGTGCGCCAGAAAAGGAATAGTTATGGGCCAGGTTCAAGAATGTCTGGAACGAGAGAGGCTGGATTTTCAGACGCGAGGAACGTTTCCTGGAATGGGCTCAGAGGGCTGTGGAGTTTGTGGGGAGACGCCGGGGGGGGGACAGTTTTCAAGGGCGGGCATTCTCCCCAAAGCTGCCATCTGTGCCTTCTCTGATCATCCTGGGGACACCCAGGAATACCCAGAGAGAATCTGTTCATCGAGTAACTCCTCTGGGTAGCCAAGAGGAGTCTAGTTTGGCTCTGATGGGTGGAGCCCACCTCTGATGGGCAGAGCATTAAAATTGCACCTTTAATTTAGGGCCTCCTTAGCTTGCTTTCCACCTGTAATTCCAGCATTGTTACAGAAAGGCAGGAGGTGACCTACACTTCAGCCTGCCTGGTGTCCCCAGGTGTGATGGAGGATATTGTCCCAGTGGCAACACTAGACTTGCATCCAACTATCATTCCGGTTGACTTCTGTCTACGGAGTGAAAGAGAAGGCAGAAGCTGTTTTGTTCTTGGGCTGACCCTCTTCAATCACCATTTGCATTTATTTATTTGTTTCTTTGTTTATTCATTTATTTAGAGTATTTACGTACTGCCCATCTTGTGCAAAACGCTGCTCTCTCTGGGCAGTTTACAGTGAAGAAGATAACCCATCAACCCAAAAATCAAAGCAACACTCACGCTCACAAAATAAAGCAAACAAAGTCATTAAAAACCCAAATGATGGGTCAAGGACCAGAAAGACAAGTTAACTGGAAAGAGGTTGTCCTTCAATGCTTCTTGGAAAGGTTTTGGCCTTTAACATCATCCTCTTCAAAGTTGGGAGAGAGGGACCTGATGCACCTCTAACAGGAGCTCAGGTGTGGAACTCTTCAGTCTCCTGGGGCTTAGGAAAGTTGCTTTTTTTAAACCTACAACCGCTAGAATCTTTCACTTTGCCCTTCGGAATACCGTATTCCAAAAAATAACTTTTCCCAAGGGCTGATTTTCATCCTTCTGCATAGCTTGGTTGCCTGGGCAGGTGAGCATCGCTGGTGGTGGAGTTCTTGGCTCTGAGCACAAGGGACTCCTTTCCCCCAGATCTGAGTGGAGAAACGTCCCCCTCCAACTCCAGCACTGATGCTGGGTTCCCACCCTTCCTAGCAGGCAAGGGGGAAACCGCCGGCCCACCAGCCTCCATCAGTCAAGCGATCAAGTGTGTCCCGAAAAAGACCATTTCCTTCAAAAAGTTCTATCGATTCATCTGCCACCCGCTGAACCCTAACGTGGCCCTTGATGGATGGGTGGCTCCCATCCTGCCCTCCAGTTGACTTTGAAGCTTGCTTGTTGAAACAGGCCTGCCTCGATTCAGGAAGCATTCTCTGAATCAGACCTCGGGCAAGACGTTGCTTGCGTGGTTGTTCTGGGGGGGCCGAGGAGGGCTTGAGCATTGGGGGTGTATGTGTTTTAAAAAGCCCACCGTCTTTTTTTTTGGTAGGGATCATCCCCAGGAGGCAGCAACTTGCCCCTGGTTCCTTGCCGTTGATTCTGTCTTTTTCCTTCCCACCGTAACATCTGATGCAGGGAATAATATGAAAAAGTTGAACGATGTCTTGGAACCAGTAGTTCCACGGCCTTGCGGTCTGGAAGCATCCTCTCTCTGTTCTGTCCCCAGCCGCGAAGGGGAGCATCCGATGGCTGGAAAGGCCTGCATCCGGTGGCATTGGACCGGATCGCTTTGCAGGGAGCAGTCTCCCCTTAAAGTGATTCTTCTGCCTGCCAGGGAATCGCTCCAGCCTACCCCCCCCCAAGGAAGTAGCCCTACCAGCTGGACCGAAAAGACCTTACAGAGGCTGGGCTCTTCCATCATTTTGCATCAGGCGGTAGGAACTGCTAATCAATTACAGTCCAAAGTTATCCAAAAATCCCTTGAGAATTTCCCAGAAACGTTTCCCTCCCTGTTCCAATTTTATAGTGTCCTCTCCTAAGTGTACGAGTTGGGATCATACTTCTTTTCTCTCCCAGTGGTGATGCTACCCCTCCAGTAGTGCTTCGTGTATGACTTCTAACCTCTGCATCTTTCTCTCTTTCTTTACCGTTTTCCCTTAGTGTCCATTACAAGCTTGGTGATGATCCTCAACTCACTTCCTTTGCGTTGACCGACCGGAAATATTTTTTTCCCCACCTCCTTCTGCCAGTGACTACTCACTATGGAGTCTCCGGGGGCAGAAGCTGCCCTAGCCGACAGGCTGTTCAGCATTGTGTGAAAGGAAGAGACAGAGAGAGAGAGGGCCGGAAGTTTCAAAGACGACACCTTTTGGTGGCCTGTCCTGACGGGAGCAAAGAAAGGTGTCTGCATGAGGCCGGTCTCTAAAAGACAGGGCATTGCCCCACAGTATTTTGCAAGACTTTTGTAGGACTTCAAAAGTATTTTCCTTCCTAAGGGCATTGATTTCTGAAAGAACAACAACAACAACGACAAAAAAGTCGACCGAACTACGAAGGAGTTTGGAAAGCGTATGAAACAGAAGATCAATCATATTTATAAAGTTACATTTGTCTACCAAAATGGACTGGAAGGAGAGCAAGAGAGAGAAAGAATTGGAACTGTTACTTCAGGTTGAAAAAAAAACAAAAACCACCAAACCCAGCCGCCTGTGCTCTCCAACGGAGCCAACGGAACTGTGAATAGAGAAACTCTTTTTTTTTTTTTTTTTTTTGGGCTCCTGACCTGTTCTCCTGGCCTCTCGGCAGAGATTTATATTAAAGAAAATGAATGTTGTCAAATGGATGTATAGAAAATTAAGTGCAATGTTTCACCTCTGTATATATAACATCAGGAGATCTCTTATTATTTCTCTTTTATTGTTTTTTTTTGTAAGCACATCATTTCATTCGCCATGTGCCTTTTTTTTAAAAAAAAATGAATTCAAATGGGGAGTTGGGGGGGGAAAACACAGCCATGAGCAATGATTTAGGAAGCATTTCGTGTGCTGTGTTTAGAACAAAGAAGGCGTTTAGTGCCTTTTGCATGTGTACGGGCCAGCTGGCGTCAAAAGTGAAGACAGTGCTGGTGGAATGACTAAATTTGGGCTGTATCCGTGCCTTATAAAACCAGTTAAATGATGGGATTTAGTGTTACAAGATGTAACTGCTGGCTAAGCCAACCCAGGATAGCTTTGGAAGGGGATTCGTTCAGTTTTGGGGCCAGAATCTTGCAAGAATGGTAGAGGGTAAATGACTAATCCTGCAAACGACTTTACCTGTTAAGCTGGCTGTTCCTTCCCCATCCCCCCCCCTTCTCCACTTGGGGACATAAGACATGAAGGATGACCAAGAGAAAACAAATACCTTTGCAGGGTTGGCCCTTCTGTGTGTGGTTGGCTTTGACAGGATTTTGGACCTCGGGATTAAAGCCATCACTGCTTACTTGTCATCATCATCCTCATGTGTCATCATGTCAATTCTGACTGATGGTGACCCTTTTCTATTTTCCAGGTAAAGAATAATCTAGGAGTGCTTTCCCATGCCCATCTTCTGGGGTGCCCTGGGACTGTGCAGCTTGCCCAAGGCCACCCAGGCTGGCTTTCCTTGCAAAAGGCACACTGGGGGAATTGAACTCCCAACCTCTGGCTCCATAGCCAAGTATCTAAACCTCTGAGCGATCCTGCCAGCTGCTTACTTGTCAGGATAGTTAATATAGCACCACTGCCAGTATCATAGGCAACATAATTTCCACGTATTGGTTTCTGGGGAAAAGAGAGACGCAGGGTGCAATGGCGCTCGCGCGAACAGAATGTCGGGCTACCTACGTCGGCCTTGGGTCCAATCCAGAGGCCAATCCATGTTATCCTCTCCCAGTATTCCCTGCTTAGTTTGAGCCCCGTTTGACTCCCCTGTAGCCCTCTAGGAACAGTTCAGAAGGCTGCCTCTGACAAAATGGTGCGTATACGTTTGGAGGGGGGGGTCGTCTGCTTCACAGTCATCTGAGCACTTCCTAGAAGTGGGTTAAATCATTTATTTATTTAAGGCCTTTCAAGCTCTGCTCTTGAACCAGAGTGGCTTGCTGATGAATAAAACCACGTTGGGCCCCGTGCTCAGGCTGAAGGTCTGAGAAGCAAAAAGGAAACGTTCACCCATTCCTAGATTAGATTTAGGAACAGGGACTCTGCCTGGGTCCCTCAGCAGCCTTTATGGCAGAGTACAATTGAAAAGCCACGGGGAAAGAGGAAGACCCAATATGAAATGGATAAGCTTAATAAAAGAAGCCACAGCTTTTAAGTTTGCAGGGAAGCTCACGGCAGGACCTTTTTGAGGGAATTCATGGGTTGGAGGCAACTTGATGGCACATAAGAAAGAACTGAACGAAGGCCTTTCCAAACTTGATCGGGCACGGCTCGTGTCAGCCCCTGCGGTGTCTCTTCTGGGTGGCAGCCATGCATTGCTTTGCTCCAACAGAAACAAAAGCACGCCTGGCTGGTTCCTGTCTACAGGTCAAGCCGGTATTAAGCAGAGGATCGCAGTGCGGTTAAAAGCGATGACGATTGCAGGAGTTGTGGCCACAGGGAATTAAGAGAGGAAGGGGCTCGGACCTTTTTCTGCACACGGGAGCGTCTCTCCGGGCTCCCTGAAGGTGTTCTGCTTCCAGTCAGTGCTTCCAAACACTTGTTTCGAATTGTGGATGGCCAGAAAATCTTCCTGTGGGAAGCTGGGAGCTGTATGCGAAATGTAAAAGCGATGACGATTGCAGGAGTTGTGGCCACAGGGAATTAAGAGAGGAAGGGGCTCGGACCTTTTTCTGCACACGGGAGCGTCTCTCCGGGCTCCCTGAAGGTGTTCTGCTTCCAGTCAGTGCTTCCAAACACTTGTTTCGAATTGTGGATGGCCAGAAAATCTTCCTGTGGGAAGCTGGGAGCTGTATGCGAAATGTAAACGCAGCCTGTGGATGGCCAGAAAATCTTCCTGTGGGAATCTGGGAGCTGTATGTGAAATGTAAACGCAGCCTTCCACCCTCCTAAGGTTGGTAAACTGAGTACCCAGTTTGCTTGGGGGGGGGGAGAGCAGTGTGTAGCCTGCAGAATTCAATTGTTAGCTGCCTAGAGAGTGTGCTTTAAGTGCTATGGGTCAATATATAAGCAGCACACTGCTTTTTTCTTCTTTTTCTAAACTTTATATTTAAAAAGTGAGGTGCGTCTGCAAATTCTAACCCGCCTCTTTTAGAGGACCTGAAGAAATGGATTAAAACCCACAGTACAAGACGTTCAACGTTAATACGCTGTTGTCATGTGCCACCAAGCCACCCCTGACCTCTGGCGCCCCAGGAAGGAGTGACCTCCACAATGACCTTGTCCTCAACAGCCAGGCTCAGCTCTTGCAAACTCAACCCTGTGGCTTCCTTTAAGGAGTTAGCCCATCTTGTATTTGGTCCTCTTTTCCTGCTGCCTTCAACCATTCCCAGCCGCAACTCAACCCTGTGGCTTCCTTTAAGGAGTTAGCCCATCTTGTATTTGGTCCTCTTTTCCTGCTGCCTTCAACCATTCCCAGCCTTCTTCTCTTTTCCAGAGAATCTGGCCTTCTCCTGATGTGGCCCAAAGTAGGATGGCCTCGGTTTCCAATGTCTCCTGATGTGCCCAAAGTAGGATGGCCTCGGTTTCAAACATTTTTTTGCCTTCAGGCTCAGGCTTGATTTGAGCTGTGCGTATTAAGAACCATCACTGATTGTGATCAAGTCCATGCAGGCCAATTTATCATTTTGTACAATCTTGCAGGTGAATTCGTCATTTTGTATGACCTGCATCCAGCTTGCCCAGAAATCACTCGTCAAATTGTGGAATGAGCTACCAATATGTTTTTAACAAAAAAAATAATAAAAAGATATTCACAATTAGCCTAATGAGGTATTGAGTTTAACCAATGGGGTGGGAGACACCAGAGGCTTCTCACCCTTGGCAGTGGTCCATCAACCCTACTATGCCAGGGTGTCGGGCCTGCACATATGATAATGTTTTGACTTGTCACACTTTTAGCCTAGGTTCCTTGCCAGGAATGCAAAACTGGAGAGCGTTCTCCTCACCCATCTTTTTCTTTTATCATGCAAGCTACATGATAAAAGGCCGTTTCGTGATCCACAGCGATTTATAAGGCAAGTACTGTACATTATTTTACAATTTAGAAATGGTTTTACAAGGCTGTTATTTTTTTTAACAGAATATAATTTAACCCCACCTTGCAAAGCAGCTCAGAGGAAATGCTAGAATGATTTTTGCAACAGAGATGTGTTTGAAGCGGGGTGGGGTTTTCAAGCTAAATAGCTATCCTTTAACAATGGGAATGATTGACTTGGGCTTTTAGCTCATAATGAGACAAGAAATTCCTGGAGTGATAATGGGCCGGTTATTGCCTCTGAGACTGGCTTACCTTGCTGGGTTGTTGTGACAACTATCAGAGGAACAAAGGAGAGAGAAAATGTGTGCGAGGGGGTGCAGGCGCACACCCCTAGCTGGCTTGCCCCCAGCACACAAGGATTAAGCCCTAGACAGGCAAATGAGGGAGGGCAGACTTAAGAGACCGCCTGCATAGCCGGCTTCCTTTGGCTCAGCTCTACAAGCCTTCCCTAAAAAAGGGTGTCTTTTGGACTGATCTTCTCTCCTGCCTGCTTTCCAGACTCTGGGAAGGTCCAGTGAAATTAGTGGGGTCCCCAAGCTGGCCAGTGGCTCCAAAGGGTTTAGTAGAGAGTATAATTCAGCCCTGTGAAGCTGGGGAGGGGGGGAGGCAGGGGGGAAGTGATCTGGTCCCACTAATAAAAGTGGTTTCAAGCCAAGAAGCTTGAGGTGGAGCCCATGGAATGATGGCCAGTGGGGAGGGGTTGGTGGTGGTCCAGCACCACCAGCACCACAGGAGGGTGGGTCAGCAGAAGGCACACTGTGTATGCTGCAGTCTTTAAGGATCTGAAAGAAATGCAGGATGCAAATGGAATCAATACAAAAATAAAAATGTCCAACTGTCTGCCACAATAAAAGAGGACAATGAAATGATCAGGTCAGCCTAAACATGGAAAAGTTAGGCTTTTTGACTAAAGCATAGCCAGGAGTGGAGTGTGGGATCTGTAGTCCCAACAAAGCAATATTTCTAAGCCGTTCCTATGGGTTCTGGCTTGCGACGTTCAGTGGAGCTCCCTCCAGGATCTGCCAGTGATCATGGTGCCCGTTTGGTTACGTATTAGCTTCTCCTTTGAACCTGCACTGTGTAGCGAAGTGTATTAATTCCTGCAAGGGCTGCTATCCATTTGCCTTGCCGGGAGGATGATCAGGAAGGAAGTATATCATGACATCAGCAGGGACTTGCGCCGGGGCAGACCTTAGAGCGAGGGTGGGAAAACAGGTGACCTCACTTTCACCCCCCCAAAAACCCACCCAGAAGAAAGTGAGGCCCAACCCACACCTGTTCAGACAGGAAAATCCCCTTTGCCAACAGTTCTAGTGTTTGCTCTTCCAGAGCACCGGTGAGATCGGCTGGGTCACCGGGAGGTGACGGATTCCCCTGGCACCGTTGGCATTAGGGCTTTTGATAGCAGAGCGTCCTGGGCTGGCACTCCCACACACTGGGGGTCGTGACCGACCAGTAGGTCCTGGATGGCTTCTCTTCCTGACCCCTCTCCCTTCTTTCCAGCCCCAAATAAAACACAACTGTGTGCATCCATTTCGGATTCCCAAACCAAGTCCTGAGAGTTTTGTAGCCCAAATGGGGGAAACTGAGAAACAAGACGGAGACATTATCAGGAATATGCAATGGGGTTTGCATTTAGGTTTTGTTCTGAGCGAATGGTGGGTTTGGCTGATGAAACAGGTCAATAAC